AGTGAGTGTTATTGTCATGAGCATTATCTTCAAAAAGAGTTGTGGCTTACCTGTCTTCGATCTACTTTGCCTGTGATCTTAACTCATCTTACAGTAAAACTGTCCTGGATCCTGCTTAAAGTCAGGGGCCTGGAGAGATGTCTCAGTGGTTAAGAGCACTGCCTGCTCTTCCAAAGGTCCTGAGTTCAATTCCCAGCAACCACATGATGGCTCACAACCATCTTTAATGAGGTCTGGTGCCCCCTTCTGGCCTGCAGGCATACACTCAGAATATTGTGTACATAATAAATAAATATTAAAAAAAAGATGTGGTGGCTCACACCTTTAGTACTAACATTCAGGAGGCAGAGGCAGGGGATCTCTGATCTCTGTGGAGGCCAGCCTGGTCCATACAATGCCTTCCAGTATAGCAAGAGCTACATAATAGACCCTGTCTCAAAAAAAAAAGATGGGGGGGGCATGACTTTAATCCCATTACTAGGGATGCAGAGGCAGTTAGGTTTAAAAAGTGACTTCTAGGGTAGCCAAGGCTGCACAGAGAAATTCTGCCTCAAAAAAAAAAAACAATAAATGAATGAATTAATGAAGGAAGAAAAAAATGGAAAGGAAGTGTGTGTGTGTGAGTTCCTGTAGAGACCAGAAGAGGGCATTAGCTTCCCTAGAGCTGGAGTCCAGGGAATTATAGGCTGCCTGGCATGAGTTTAATTTGGTAAATAAAAGCAGCAAACCCACTCTTAAATGCTCAGCCATCTCTCTAATCCCTAAAAACTGAATATTGCAGAGTAAGTGTAAGAGGTGGTTGTTATTGATACAACCTCTGAACCTGAAATACCTTGACACATGTGCAGTTAAGTTTCATTAAAAACAACAGAAGCGCAGTGGTGACACATGCCTTTAATCCAAGAACTCGGGGGGGGGGGGTCAAAGAGCAGGTGGGTTTCTATGAGTTTGAGGCCAGCCTGGCCTACAAAGATAGTTCCAGGATAGCTAGGGCTGTTCACACAGAAACCCTTAATTGAAAAAAAACAAATGTGAATAAAGGTGATAAAACTGAAAGGACTACGGGTGAGGGAGAAGAGTTGTTAAGGAAAAGGGTTACTGGGCAAGGAAGGGTACAGGAGGAAGCAGGTATTGGGGAGAAGCCAAAAGGAGGAGTCAAGAAAATTTATATTAACTTTATGGGTGTGAATACCACATGTGTGCAGATGCCCTGAGAGACCAGAAGTGACAATGGCTCCTTTGGAACTGGAGTTATAGACAGTTCTGAGCCACATGATTTGGGTGCTGGGATTTGAACTCAGGTACTCTACAAGAACAACAGTACTCTTGACCACTGAGCCATCTTCCTAGCCCCCAAGGGAAAAATTATATTTGAAAGTGTTATAATAAAGCTTAATATATTTTATGCTAATTTTAAATTTTTTAATTAGCCTAACCATGATAAATAGTCAATTTAGCATCTATTCCGAATATTAGCCAAAGCTTTACATGTATTGACTCATCTAACCCTCATACCTGTGAGACAGGTTTTCTTCGGATGGAGAGACTGAGTCACGAACAGGTTGTATGACTTGCCTGAGATGATCAGAAGAGCCTCTCCTAGTGCCCACGTTATACTGTCTTTTGAAAAACTACACTGCTGCTTAAAACAATAGCAAATGTTCACACAAAAGCTAACAAACCTTTTGCATTAATGACCAAGTCACACCCGATCCTATCATTAGATTGTGGTATCTAATCTGGAGCTTCCTGAGAGACACTCTCAAAAAGCGAAAAGCCAACAAGGTGGCTCGGTGGGGAAAGGCCCTTGTAGTCAAAGCTGAGGATGAGAGCTTCGTCCCCGAAACTCAGAACTGACAACTCTGTCATCCAGACATCCACACATGCACTGTGGTATGGGTATCCCCTCCCAAATCAATAAATGTGAAATTTAAAACACATCATAGATAGCATTCTTTATGATAAAAAGAACATGAAAATATAGTGTGGATCACAGGTGAGGAGCAGTTAAGCAGAATGTCACCCACTAATTCTCTGATGCTTTATATTTGCTCTATAGACTAGGAATGGTAACAATTCACAGCATTTCTTTTTTTTTTTTTTTTTTTTTGGTTTTTCGAGACAGGGTTTCTCTGTGGTTTTGGAGCCTGTCCTGGAACTAGCTCTTGTAGACCAGGCTGGTCTCGAACTCACAGAGATCCGCCTGCCTCTGCCTTCCGAGTGCTGGGATTAAAGGCGTGCGCCACCACCGCCCGGCTAATTCACAGCATTTCTATTAAGGTTTAATTGGCTGGGTGTGGTGATGAATAATGTAATCTTGGATACTTAGGAAGATTGCAAGGTTCAGACCAGCCTGAGAAATTTAGCACGACTAAGACTCAGAAAAAAAAAGATTTGGGGCACGGTGGCACAAGTCTTTAATCCCATCAGTAGGATCGGAAGTTCAAGGACATACTCAGTTGAAGGCCAGCCTGGACTACTTTTTGTTTCTGTGTTTGGTTGGTTATTTTTCTTTTTTAGCAACAGGATTTCTCTGTGTAGCCCTGACTGTCCTAAAACTTGCTCTGTACACCAGGCTGGCCCTGAAATTCACCTGCCTCTGCCTCCTAAGTACTGGGATTAAAGGCTTGAGCCAACACCAACCAACCTAAAATAATGCCAATCTTTTGTTCGCTTGTTTGTTTTTTGGTTTTTTGAGACAAGGTTTCCTTGTAGCTTTGGAGTATGTCCTGGAATTCGCTCTGTAGTGTAGACCATACTGGCCTTGGACTCAGATTGCCAGCCCCTCCCCCCCTCAAGTCTCTGCCTCCCGAGTGCTGGGGCTAAAGGCGAGCACTGCCACCACCGCCTAGCTCAGCCTAGGTCCTATCTCCTGAGCTGTAAAAATATTAGATTAATACATGTAAACTACTTAAACATTGTCCGGCACTTTGTCCAAGAAATATCTCTAGTATTGTTAAAGCTGTATTTTAGTAGTTATATTACAGAGGATATTTTACAACACTGATACAGTGACAAAGGAGATATTGTCAATAGGATTCACCTATTTTTAAATTTTATCTGAGTTACCCATTTTTCCTGGGTTCACCTATTTTTATTCCTCACACAGTCAACCTTAGATGATGGCTAGTTTTTTGTTTGCTTTGTCTTTTTTTTAGGGTGGGGTTCGAGACAGGGTTTCTCTGTGGTTTTGGAGCCTGTCCTGCAACTAGCTCTTGTAGACCAGGCTGGTCTATAACTCACAGAGACCTGCCTCTGCCTCCCGAGTGCTGGGATTAAAGGCGTGCGCCACCAACGTCCGGCTCTTGTTTTGTCTTCTTGACACAAGTTAGAGTCATTTGAAAAGAGGGAATCTCAAATGAGAAAATGCTTTCATCAGATTGGCCTGTAGGGCATTTTCTTGATTAGTGATTGATTTGGGCAGTGCTACCTGTGGGCAAGTGGGCCTGGGTTGTATAAAGAAGCAGGCTACAACAAGCCTTGGGGAGCAAGTCTTCCTTCATGATCTCTGCTTCAGTTCCTGGCTTGATTTTTCAGCCCTGACTTCCCTTAGTGACCTGGGAATTTTAAAGTGAAATAAACTTTTTCCTATCCCAAGCTGCTTTTGGTCAGTGTTTTTTTTTTTTTTTAAATATTTATTTATTATGTATACAATATTCTGTCTGTGTGTATGTCTCAGGCCAGAAGAGGGCACCAGATCTCATTACAGATGGTTGTGAGCCACCATGTGGTTGCTGGGAATTGAACTCAGGACCTTTGGAAGAGCAGGCAGTGCTCTTAACTGCTGAGCCATCTCTCCAGCCTCTTGGTCAGTGTTTTAACACAGCAATAGAAAACCAAACTAAGACAGGTGATTGTATTTATTCTGAAAGTCAGTTGTGAAAATTGGGTCAGCTGCTATAGTATAGTAAGAAACTGTATTACACCTAGAGTTTCTTTGCTTGCTTTTAAAAAAACTTAACGTGTATGCCACAGCACACCTGTGGACGTCAGAAGACAACTTCAGGGACTGGGTTCTTTCCTTCCACCTTTACATGGGATCTAGCGAAAGGCTTGTGCAACATCTCCACCCTGCTTGCTTGCTTTTTGATACAGGCTCTCACTACATAACCCAGGGTGGCCTGGAAGGGAGGCCAGGCTGGATTCACACTCATGATCCTCCTGCTACACTTCCCCCCCCCCTTCCTCTTTATAGGATGACCATTATGCTAGACCCCGAGATGAATATTTGCGGTACAGATTCTAGCTTAAAGTGAATTACAGAGAAGTGGGGTAGTTCCCTTGGGTCAAACCCCCCAAGGCTTGTTTTTCCTGATTGCATCTTTTTATTTAAAACCCTCAAGTTTCAAAGTTTCCTAGGGGCGACCATTCCAAGTCCAGTTAGTTACTCCCCGTGAACACACACACGCCGATTCTTCTCATCACATCGGTTTCCAGGATTCATCACTGCTCTAAGAACTAGTAAATACTCTAGGAGTCAGTCCCTGCATGTATGGTCAGGTTCTGCATATACTTTATTCAAGTTTTACCTGGCCAAATTTGTGCTGCTGAGAAGCAGCCTAAACCACTTTCACAAGAAAGTCATTATTTCTGATTTTTAGCAAGTGTTTGACATACATACTCACTCTGTTCCTCTGACCCCAGTGCTTTACCCCTGTGTATAAAAAAGGTGTCGGGGGAAATGACTAGAACTCAAGGGGTGGAGCCTCTATCCTTTTACAGGAAACTACAATCCTTTAATGCGCCTGCGAGGCTCCCACGCCCTGGGAAAGGTTCCTATCGATTTGCTCTGTGCTCCGCAGCTCTTTCTGGCTGCAGGCAGCCATCTTGCCTGGAGCTTGAGACAGGGAAGAGAGAAGGAACTGGTGACACCGGGCTCAGGGCCGCCCCGGGGGCCTCGGGAGCCAGGGTCGGCCCCAGAGGTGGTCCTGGGTCCTGGGCTATGCTCTAGGGTCACAAAAGGGAGGGGCAGAGGACAGAGGGCTTGATGGGTGGGGAATCAAACAAGATTTGCTGGGTGGGGGAGGGACGTTGCTGAGGCAACTGGAGAGGGCGGGGTCATGTCTGAATTGCTGCTGTGAGTCACCGGAGTGCTGCCCAGGAAAGGCAGGGCTGGGGTGATGACCATGCTAAAGACCCAGTGGGATTTCGCGACATCACCTGTGTGGAGGGACTTCGTGTCTATGGCAGCTGTCACCTGGTGGAAGGGGCGGAACTAGATTTCCTCTGCCTGCGACGCCGGCATTCCAAGCACTTGTCCTGCAGGCTCCCGCAGGCAGACGCATCATAGAAGGAAGCCAGGGAATGGCCGCGGTGTGGCAGCAAGTCTTAGCAGTGGACGCGAGGTGAGGCGTGGGGTTGGAGCCCATGGGAGCGGAACCTACTGTGGTGCATGAGCAATGGCGATCAGTGAGGCTGGGCGGAGAACTTGGCTGGTGAGGCTGCGTGAGCATGCGCAGTTAGCTTGGTATCTGATTCCCGCGGTGAAGTGGCCGGGCCAGAGAAGGTTCTAAAGAGCATGCTGGGAAATGCTGTTAGATACGGACATGCGCAAAGAGACTTTTTGCGTGGGTAGTGGAAGTCAGACCGGTGACTTCCTATCTAGCTCTTATTGCCTGTCCTCTTCCCCAACTTTTCTTGATACCACTACCCTACTATTATTACCCAATTGCTACCCCATACTACATGACCCTAACCTCCATTGCTGTACTTTCCCAATCTGACGTTTGTCATCATGCTAGACTGATAATATAGTTGGCTCCGACTGACCACAGCAGAGCTGCAGATTGACTATATTATCTCCAGATTGACCTTTTCATCATACCCGTTATTAATCAGAATCGCCCCCATCACAGTACGATCACTCTTACCATCCCAATCACTGCCTAACACCTCATTGCACTACCCTATGCCTTGAGCTGATTTATTCCCTCTGTCCTGTGCCTGCTGCCTGCCCTGCCTCCTGGACCCTACAGGTACAACGCCTACCGCACACCAACGTTTCCACAGTTTCGGACCCAGTATATCCGCCGGCGCAGCCAGCTGCTGCGGGAGAATGCCAAGGCTGGGCACCCCCCAGCACTGCGGCGGCAGTACCTGAGACTACGGGGCCAGCTATTGGGCCAGCGCTACGGGCCACTCTCTGAGCCAGGCAGTGCTCGTGCCTATAGCAACAGCATTGTCCGCAGCAGCCGCACTACCCTTGACCGAATGGAGGTGAGCTCCTGGCTGCACCACCTGCCACATATCTCCTCAACATCCATAGTTACCACGGCCTTTTGTCAAACACGGTGATGTACAAAAGTATTGTTCCATTGTCCGTAGAGGACTAAAAGATAATATAGCAACTAAGTCAATAAAAATAAGGGGGCTGGAGAGATGGCTCAGAGGTTAAGAGCTCTTGCTGCTCGTCCAGAGGTCCTGAGTTTAATTCTCAGCAACCACATGGTGACTCACAGCCACCATAATGAGATCTGGTGCCCTCTTCTGGCATGCAGGCATACATGGAGGCAGAATGTTGTATGCAAAATAAATAAATAAAACTTAAAGAATTTTAAAAAATAAATAAGCATGATAGACAGGTAGTGAGTTAGAAAAACACGGAGCAAGTCAGATTAATGAGTTGATAATTACCATGGTATAGCAGGGAATGCTATGATAATCACATAAAATGGACTTAGGAGACACAAAAGAGAGTTTGGTGCAGGGATGTAGTTCAGTGATAGAGGGCTTGTCTAGTATGTCTGAGGCTGATGGTTCTATTCCCAGCAAAGAAGAATGTGAAAAGCCACGGGCTGGAGAGATGGCTCAGAGGTTAAGAGCACTGACTGCTCTTCCAGAGGTCCTGAGTTCAATTCTCAGCAACCACATGGTGGCTCACTACCATCTGTAATGAGATCTGGTGCCTTCTTCTGGCCTGCAAGTATATATGCAAGCAGAACACTGTATATGTAATAAATAGATAAATAAATAAATAAGTCACTACTTTGAGCTAATGGAGGAAGCTATGTTTATTTTTTTTAAACTTTACTTAACTTTATTTCATGCGCATTGGTATAACCATGTCAGATTCTCTTGAACTAGAGTTACAGACAGCTGCGAGCTGCCATGTGGTTGCTGGGAATTGAACCCCGGGTCCTCTGGAGGAGTAGTCAGTGCTCTTAACCACTGAGCCATCCCACCAACCCCCGGAAGCTATGTTTAATAGGGAAGACTTCTCTGAGGAGGTAACAGTGAAACCTGACTGAAGTGAGAGACTAATTCAAGTGGTTTCCTGAAGGAAAATAGTTCTTCTTTGTGCGGAAAACATGTCTGTACTAAGGATGTGTTGAGCAGGACAAGGACAGAAACAGGTGCTCGTGAAGAAACTTTTGAAGCAAGTGAGCAGTGATAGTGGTGGCAGGTGCCATGTGTGGTGAGAAGGGATCAAGTCTGGTCATATTTTGAAGGCTCCAGACATTGGTGGTTCTCAGAGACTAATTTCTCTTCTTTTTGAGACAGGATCTCACCATGTAGCCCAGGCTGGCCTCAGATTCACCATGTAGCCAAGGCAGGCCTTGAGCTCAGTGATCTTTCTGCCTCAGTTTCCCAAGCACTGAAATTAGAGGTATGCACCATCCCTGACCCTGTCTTGATTTCAGGACTTTGAAGATGACCCTCGAGCCCTGGGGGCCCGAGGACACCGCCGATCTGTCAGCCGAGGCTCCTACCAGCTCCAGGCACAAATGAATCGTGCAGTCTATGAGGACAGGTACATACCAGAGGCAGGCAGAGGGTGGAGGTTCCTAAGGAAGAGAGGGGCCCTGGGATATGGCAGTCTAAACACCCACACCTACCTCCTATCACCCCCTACTTCCTGTTGGGGCTCAGGCCTCCCGGCAGTGTGGTACCCACATCGGTGGCAGAGGCAAGCCGGGCCATGGCCGGGGACACATCGTTGAGTGAAAACTATGCCTTTGCAGGCATGTACCATGTTTTTGACCAGCACGTGGATGAGGCAGGTAAGCTAATGGGTGGTGGGACCAAACCAAACATTTGTTCGAACAGCTACTACCCAAGGCACCTGGCACCACACCTCAGAAGGAGAAATTAACCTGTCATAAAACCATTAGCAAATGCAAAAGCCCTCTGCAAAGTGCTCTGCAAAGTTGTTATATTAGGTACTGCAAAGAGAGCCACAGAAACTCAAGAGAGCCCTCTTTAGCAGACTGCCTGAGCTCATGAGTCACTTGGAAGAGTTCAGAGCCTTTGCTGATGATAACTTCCTTGCAGAGGGCATAGTGGACTACACTGTGAAGGTTTTCAAACCCATGAGAGCTTGATTATTGTAAAGTACTCAGTAATGTAGTGCGAGCTTATTGCATTGTTCAAAGTGCCATTAAGATTTAGAGAGCATGTTGGTAGTAGGTGTTCTAAGTTTACAACTGCCTTTGACGGCCAAGGAAAGCCTTTTGTGGAGGCTACCATTCCTTGTGCTCAGTGAGTATGCTGACTCCCTCAAATGGCTCCTTGGCATTTGCAGTCCCAAGGGTGCGCTTCGCCAATGATGACCGACACCGCTTGGCCTGCTGTTCACTGGACGGCAGCATCTCACTGTGCCAGCTGGTGCCTGCCCCACCCACTGTGCTCCATGTGCTACGGGGCCACACGCGTGGTGTCTCTGACTTCGCCTGGTCCCTCTCCAATGACATCCTCGTGTCCACCTCCCTCGATGCCACCATGCGCATCTGGGCCTCCGAGGACGGCCGCTGCATCCGTGAGATCCCTGACCCTGATGGCGCTGAACTGCTGTGCTGCACCTTCCAGCCCGTCAACAACAACCTCACTGTGGTCAGGCTCCAGAACACCTGCTCACCAAGGGCGGGCATGCTGGGTCTGGAGAGCTGTTTGGGGGCACCAGAGTATAAAGTTTAATACCCCCAAGTCCTATCACAGCAGTCCTGTGGTCAGACTCAAAGGGAAACAGACCAACAAAAGCATAGTTCATGGTCAGGGAAGGCCTTGCTGTAGTAGATAGACTTCTGGGCTAGGCGGGGGGTCATGGCCCTGGGATTCCTAGGGTCTCATCACCACAGTCTTACAGTTTTCTGTCTATAGAAGCTGCTGCTAGGGAGCAGGATGATGGGACTGAACACTCATCTAATCTATCAGGGGCAGCCCTACTGTGGTCAGACTCCAGGACAGACTGGGCAGAGGGCAGAGGAAGGACATGGAAAGTCTGGCATGGCCTGGGGGTAGGGAGTTGCGATATAGGGTAACAACAGGCTATGAGTAAGCTAGTGCTTGGGGTTCTCTGGCTCATTTCAATGGTAGCAGCTTTGGGCTCCAAGAGGAAGCAGGACAGGGTGCAAGGAAAAGATGGAAGGGTATTATAAGCCCAAATTTTCAGACTGGCCAAAGGGCAGCATTTTGGCTCTGAGACTACCTTCGTCTCATGAGCAACTGGCCTATTGTGGACATATTGAGGGGTTAGCTAGGAAGTAGGAGTTAGGCCTGGGTCACCTTCCAGTGTGCCTGCCACAGTCCCACTGTCTTAAAGTCAAGGAAGGACTAGATGGGTCAGAATGATGGTGTATGTATTCCACTCACAGGTGGGGAATGCCAAGCACAATGTGCATGTCATGAACATCTCCACAGGCAAGAAAGTGAAGGGTGGCTCCAGCAAACTGACAGGCCGTGTCCTTGCCCTGTCCTTTGATGCCCCTGGCCGGCTTCTCTGGGCAGGTGATGACCGCGGTAGTGTCTTCTCCTTTCTCTTTGACATGGCCACAGGTAGGCAGGCCATAGACCTATGTTTTGGTGCCCTTTTTTGTATTCTCCACGGACTTGGTCCTTGTCCTCACCTTTGCCTCCACTGATTCAGGGAAGCTGACCAAAGCCAAGCGACTAGTGGTGCACGAGGGCAGCCCTGTCACCAGCATCTCTGCCCGATCCTGGGTCAGCCGGGAAGCGCGGGACCCCTCACTGCTCATCAATGCCTGCCTCAACAAACTGCTGCTCTACAGGTGGGTTCCTCCCCAACTGGGGCCATCTGGGCCTGCAGAGCCCATCCTTCCATCGGAGTGGAGGAGAAAGGCCCATCTCCAGCACATTCATTTCACCAAGGCTGGGGCTCTGGCCTCATAATATGATGAGAGTAGAGGTGGGGACGTAGCTTAGTGGCAGAGTGCTTGTCTATCCCCAGAAACAGACACACACACACATAATACATAGTATGGTGATACATGGCCTACAATGTACATAGTGTACAACATAATCATATCAATAGCAACATAAATAGGAATAACAGTAACAAGCCCCTACATGAACATTGCTATGGCCAGACCCTGTTCAAGGCACTCCATACATATCACTGTATTTAATCCTCACAACAGTCTGGGAAGTAGTTAACGTTATTGTCTCCATTGTATAGTTAAGCAAACTAAGACAAAATACATAAAGGACTGCGAAAGTGGCTCAGTGGTAGAGCACTTGCCGAGCCTAGCATGTATGAGACTATGGATTCCACTCCCAATACTATAATTAAAGAAAAAATACCAGCTCTTTGTTTTGAATTTTTTCACATTTATTTATTTGTGTGTGTATGTGAGTGCTCACATATCATGGAGCATATATGGAGGTCAGAGGACAGCGTGTGAAAGCCTGTTCTGTCCTTCCATGCAGGTTCCAGGAAACAAACTCAAGTCGTCAGACCTGGCAGCAAATGTCTTTTCCCACTTGAGTCCTCTCCAGTTCCCTTTCTTTTTCTTCATTTGGTGCTGGGAATTGAATCCAGAACTTTGTACATGCTAATAAAACTCTACCACTGAGATTCACCCACAACCTATATTATTTTGTTATTTTGATTTGGGAACAGAGTTCATTCTTCCCACCCATCTTTCAAAAATGATGCTTTTTTAAAGCTGGACATAAACTCATGCCCTACCAGGCATGGTGGCACATGTCTTTAATCCCAACACTCGGGAGGCAGAGGCAGTCGGACCTCTGTGAGTTCGAGGCCAGCCTGGTCTACAGAGCAAGTTCCAGTACAGGCACCAAAAACTACAGAGAAACCCTGTATCAAAAAAACAAAGAAAAAAAACTCCAAGGGGCTGGGAGATGGCTCAGCAGCATTATCAGATGTTGATCTTATAGATGACTGAGGTTCAGTTCTCAGCATTCACAACTGTCTGTAATTCCAGTTCCAGGGGATCCAGCACCTTCTTCTGGTCTGCTCTAGTACTATACATTCACAGTGCACACACATACATGCAGGCAGAACACCCATATACATAAAATGAAAATAAATAAAATGAAAAAAAATGCTAGGGGTGATGATAGACACCTATGGTGCCAGCAACTCTAAGGGCTGAAGCAGGGGATCACTTGAATGCTTGAGTTTAGAGATGACTTGTCCAACATAGTAAGACTCTCTCCAAATGCAAAAATAATTCATGAACATTGTAAATATCTCGAATACAGGATTCAGACCATAAACTGCCCACCACTAGTCATCTCCTGGAGCTTAGGCTGTGCCCTGACCCTTTCTTTTGCCTTCTCTTCAGAGTGGTGGACAATGAAGGTACCCTGCAATTGAAGAGAAGCTTCCCCATTGAGCAGAGCTCACATCCCGTGCGCAGTATCTTCTGCCCCCTCATGTCCTTCCGCCAGGGGGCCTGTGTGGGTGAGTGCTCAGGAGCAGGGGACCTGGGTAACTGGGAAGAAGCAGAGACCAGTGTAGCTGGCATGACATCCTGATGCCATGACTTCCTGGGTCTTGTGCCCTAACAGCCTTATACCTAAACACTTTAGACATGGAGCCACAGACAGCTTGGGAACTTCATAGCTGAGACACAGACCCCACACTTCCTAAAACCTCACATACTACCCACAGAAGCAAAGGAGGCAGATGAGCTCCCATTTAGACTAACAGGTAGTTCCTTTTAGACTACCCAAAGCTACATGAGGCCCTCACACCTCATAGAACCTCAAGGCCCTCCTACTGAGGACACCACAGTAGCCTTCTGATGCTCTCTCCCTCTCATCTGGACAGTGACAGGCAGTGAGGATATGTGCGTTCACTTCTTTGATGTGGAGCGGGCGGCCAAAGCTGCTGTCAACAAGCTGCAGGGCCACAGTGCGCCTGTGCTTGACGTCAGCTTCAACTGCGACGAGAGTCTGCTGGCTTCCAGTGACGCCAGTGGCATGGTCATCGTCTGGAGACGAGAGCAAAAGTAGGGTTCTGCCAGCCCTGCACAGCTCACTGTTCCCTCTTCTCTAGTCTTGTGTTGTAAATAAAATTTCTGTGGTTGTGTTGAGGGGCAACTCCCAGGTCTCCCACAAGGAGGCACTAGGGAGTACTTCGCCCTCCAGTGGATTGGGGACAGCTTCCTCAGTTGTGCAGTAATGTGTTCATCCATTCAACAAGCCCTGAGTATTTGCTGTGATGTGTCACGTAGTTGTGCAGTCAGTAGACAGGAATGAGAGTACCAAATGTGATGTCAGGAACTGTTCTGAAAAGGAAGGATACAGCTGTGGCCTCAACCAACAGAAATCCTGCCCTTGTGGGCTTGCATCCTAGGAGAGGCAAGCATTCGGTAGACAAAGTACGGCCATTCCTCGGAGTATAATTTGCTTTATAATTTTTCAACCTTTTGATCTTACATTGCTACAGAATCACACACATATACCCAGTCTTGTTTTCTACTTTCAGTGTGGTGTTCAGTAAATTACATGAGCTAGTCAACATTTTGTTATAAATTAGACTTTACATTAGGTAAGTTTGCCTACCTGTAGAATAATGTCAGTGTTCTGAGCGCATTGAAGGCAGGTGGGCTAAGCTAGGGTGTTTGGTAGGTTAGGCACGTTAATGCGTTTTCAATTAAGACAGATTCATCAAGAAGCATCTGTATAAACGAGGATAGTTAAAGATGAGTGGCGTGAAGAAAAACAAAGGGAGGGAAGGAGATGAGGTTGCAGGAATGGGAGGAGTGGGAGCTTCTTTCAGCAATGCCATCAGGAAAAATGTTCCTGACAGGATGGTGTTTTAAAGATCTGAATGAAATGAGGGAGGTAACAGAATATCCTCAACAGAAAGAGGCACCGAGACTGGAATGTCAGAGGATGACCAAGCCGAGTATGATAGGTGACATTAGACAGGGCTTTAGGGCTTCTTGGACCATGGTGAGGAGCTTGACTTTTCCTGATCCTGAGTGAGGGAGGTTGGAGTGAGGAATCAGACAGCCATAGAGAAATTAAGAGAGGAATGTTGAGTTCAACCCCAGCGGCTTCATCAGATTAGGTTGTAAAACTTCCCAAGATGACAGCTTCTGTGTGGGTGGACCCCACACTTATCTGTGGCCCACAAACAGGGAGTAGAAGTGTTGAGTTCTTTGAGTTCTAGGTTGGCACGCAGGCAGCCATGGACTCGGGCTGAGCTACAGCCTCTGCTGTGGTGAGGAAGAAATAGAAAATCTGTAAGTTCACCCCTATCTCCTCCAATGTCCCTCCAGGGCCCCAATTTAAGCCCTGGACCAGGTCAGAGACCAAATGCTAATCTCTAATATTGGGTATTAGCAAGGAAATAAGTTCCAGACTTATTGTCCATGATTAGAATCATGAAGAATTTTCAGTTTGAAGAATCACTAGGAGCTCTTAGAGCTAGTTCATCCTCCCAGATTCATATGCTGCTACTTTTGCATCAGGTGGAACTACGGCTAACATCTTGGGACCTCAGTCACCAATCTAGTAGCACAGTGTTGCTGAGCTGTGGAACTAGCAGCAGATCTTTGATGGAAGGAGATAATTCCTTGTTTGTTTAATCTGTTTATTAGTGTGATCACTTGTAGCCAAAAGCATGTCTGGCTCCATCAGGCAGATCTTAGGCAAATGGTTATGAGATAAGGATATCTAAGTGAGCTGGACTGGCCGTGTTGTGTCAAAGTCGTGGAAGTGTGCCAACATTCCTAATCCAGCTTCAGGGTCAGTGATTTCCTATGAGGACTGTACAGTACAGCTGAAAGATAAAGGGAAGTGTAGCAGGCACCAATTAAATGCTGATCTTTAAAGGGACCCTCCCAAGACAAGCAGTTCAGAATTGTGCTAGCTCTTTCCTGTACCAGACAGATTCACGACTTCAACCAACCAAGCTCTATAGGTAGCAAGATAATTGGGGGAAATACCAGTTTTCTCTAACTTCTGTTTCTTCATGCTCTTCATTTCCTTTAATGAGTCTGGTTTCCGGGTGATTAATGATGAATTTTGTTTGCATGATTTTGGGGGTTTCCTCCTTGTAAAATTTTTGAGGTGGCAGAGTTGACATTCCACTTTAAAGTCCTCTTGGTGGCACTTTTGACTCACAATCTAAAGGAAACTAAGCACTGAGTAAACAAGGAAGAATAAAAATAATGTTATTGGTCAAACTTGGGCCTCTCTTCATTTGTCTCTCATCACTGTGCCTCTGGCTTGACATCAGAATTCTGTTCATCATTCCATCATCAATGCTGCTTTACTTTCTTTTCAGATCTAGTCCTGGTCTACACCCTTTGTCTGATTTTGACCCTGGGTGTTTGTCAACTGCTACACTAGCAAGAGCAACTCGGGGCTAAGCCTGGAGCCAAGCATTTCTTTAATTATCACCCCACTGATGTGTGCCACTAGTCAAATCTGAAACCTGAGCTACCACTAATTGTCTATTGGTCTGAATCTGAACTTGAATATGGACTCCTGTTAATTTTGTGCTCTGATTATTATCAATCTTAACCATATATCCGGAACTCTATTATTGTACCATCAGTTCCCTTAATGTTATTCATTTCAACCTCTATACTAACAGTAAATGATCATGTGCTCCAATCTTAAGCCCAGGCCTCTGTCAACTATTCCGCCATTACTATGTCTTTGGTCTGGCCTCAGATCTGGGCATTTGTTTAGTTTTGTTTCTAGGGAAGGAGCCCAGACCTGCATGCTTAGCAAAAGTTATACCCCTGAAGCATACACCTGTTCCTGGGCATTTCCTACTGTTTCCTTCACCGATTCCTATCTACTATGGCCTCAGACTCAAACACTGTTTTGAGATAGTCTCTGTGTAGCCCAGACTAACCTCTAACTAACGACTATCTTCTTGCTTCAGGCTCCCAAGTGCTGGATTACAGGCATGCACCACCAGGCCTAGTCAGATAGTTTAGATTATTTTTTTGTTTCAATTTAAAATATTTTTTACTTTATGTGTATGGTTGTTTTGCCTGTATGTATGTATGTGTGCCATTAATATCTGGTATCCACAGAGGCCAGAAGACGATGTCAGATCTCCTGGAACTGGAATTGCAGACACATTTCTAGGCCACTGTGTTGGTGCTGGGAACCAAACCTGGGTCCTAGTGTTCATAGCCAGTGAGCCATCTCTCCAGCCATCAGATACTTTTACATTCTACTACTGTTGATGTCCGTATGGCCTGCTCTGAGACCTGGACCTCTGTTAATGCCTCCACCATCGGGACCTCTACCTTTAGCTTCAGTTCCCATCAGTGTCATGGTATTCTAGACTCCAACTGGGAACGCTGTGGGTCCACTCTCAATACATCTTTCCAAGACCACTGAATCCAGAGCTGGGTTAACTCATGAGCAATGGTCTTCAGGTCTAAAACCTGAAAACTCGAGCCTCTTAGTTTTTCCATACTCAGTGCTTCTGGAAGCTTGGGAAAGTAGTCCCCTGTTGATTCTTTTCAGATCTTCCCTCCAACTCTGGCCTCTATTTTCTCTGTTTTTCTCCCCACTGCTCCATGGCCTTTCTTGTTTTAAATTGTTTTTATTGCGCCACTGGCATTTATTTTCTATTCCTCTATAACTACTCTGATCTTGATCTTAGGCAAAATCAGTTCCTCTTGGCATGCCTCACACTCTTGTTTCTGTTAACTATTCTGTGACCTTTTCTCCTTGGTTCTAATCCTGAACTCCTCCAAACTGTTTCACCATTAATGCCCTTTTAGTATTAAGTATTGAAATTCTGGATGAATATTCTTTGGCTCAATCTTGAATCTAGGTCTCTGGTTAATACCCCACCACCTCTGACCCTTTGCTCCAGCTGGGCCTTTGTGAATTCTAGCACTATGAAGATATCTCTGGTCTGACCTTGAATCAGACTCCACACAAAGCTCCTTTGGAGGGCTGGAGAGATGGCTCAGTGGTTAAGAGCATTGCCTGCCCTTCCAAAGGTCCTGAGTTCAATTCCCAGCAACCACATGGTGGCTCACAACCATCTGTAATGAGGTCTGGCGCCCTCTTCTGGCCTTTAGGCATACAGACAGAACATTGTATACTAAATAAATAAATATTAAAAAAAAAAGCTCCTTTGGAGGCTGGAAAGACTGCTCAGAGGTTAAAAGCCCTTGCTGCTCTTCCAGAGGACCCAAGTTTGGTTCCCAGCATCCACATCAGTTGGCTCATAACCACCTGTAACCTCTCTCTCCAGTGGACAGTCAGAAGTCAGTCCTTTTGACTTCTGCAGACACTCACACATAGCATATACATACATAGACATACACACATTTACAAAAGTAAAATCTTTTTGTTTTATTTTGGTTTGGTTTTGGCTTTCTGAGACATGGTTTCTCTATGTAGCCTGGTTGTCCTGGAACTTACTTTGTAGACCAGGCTGGCCTCAAACTCAGAGATCCGCCTGCCTCTGCCTTCCAAGTGCTGGGTCTAAAGGCATACACCATCACTGCCCACCTCATAAAATCTTTTTAAAGAAGTATTTAAAAATTTTTGTTTATGTTTTTCATTTTTATTTTATGTATATGAATGTTTTGTCTGCACATGGGTGACTGGTGCCAATGGAGGCCACAAGAGAGCATCAGAGTCGCTGGAACAACAGTTACAGATGATTGTGAACCACCATATGGGTTCTGGGACTCAAACCTGGGTTCGTTGCAAGAGCAAAGGTCTTGCTAACTAACTATACAGCTACTGCTCCTCTGACATAGACTTGAACTCAGGCTTTCATTAAATAATCTAGTTTAATTAGACACTGGGGTTGACAGAGTAATGATTCTTGTGAGGCAAGAAGGAAATCCGGGGTCGGAGAGATGGCTCAGTGGTTAAGAGCACTGGGTGCTCTTCCAGAGGACCTAGGTTCAAGTCTCAGAACCTACATGTCTGTAACTCCAGTTCCAAGTTATCTGACCCCCTCCTCTGACCCACATGGGCACTGTGCATGCACAGACACATGCAGACAAAACACCCTACACATAAATAAAATCAAAAAATTAAAAACAAATGAAAAACTCACACCTGACCTTGAAATCTAGACCATTAAAGCATCAATATTCCCAGTCTGTTCTCAAACACAGGTTCTCTCTCTCTCTCTCTCTCTCTCTCTCTCTCTCTCTCTCTCCCCACCCCTTTGGTTTTTTTGTGTTTTTTTTTCAAGACAGGGTTTCTCTGTGGTTTTGGAGCCTGTCCTGGAACTAGCTCTGTAGACCAGGCTGGCCTCGAACTCACAGAGATTCACC